GCGCGCACTCTGCTCATAAGTGAGCAAAAACGTTTTCACGAAGTAACACTCTTCTTGTAACAAGTTGTATGAGCGCGCGCACGCTGACCTGAAGTTGCACTTTCCTCGTGTTGAATACATTGAAGAGTGTTACTTCGTGAAAACGAAAATTTACAGTTTCGCAGCTTTTTCGGTTTCACGAACTAACACTCATCTTTTTTCTCTTATTTCTTGTTTATTTAATACACAAACGCGTGAAAACAGCAGATTTAATAAATTCATATCATCAAGTGTCCACGAGAAACCCAACTGAAAATACTCTGTCGTTTTGACGGAAAGTGTTGTTTTAGAAGGCGTTCAACTTTAGTTGCCGTTTTCTCCGATTGCTAGTTTTTACTAGTATGTAGATGGGTGTTACTTCGTGGTGTCGGTGACGCTATGGCTAAAAGAGGTTGTGGAATGCTGAAAATCGTTTTTTTTTATATTTTTATATTGTACAGAAGACCCATATATTATAGCATAATGACAAACTCCCATTCTTTTTTAATGTGCGTTTATACGTTTATAAAACTGAAATTCATCGAGTAATTTGTTGGTCGGCGAGCGCATAATTGAAATCAACAGTCGTCGGGCTCTTCGTAAAATCAGAAAAAGCGTGACGTAATAAACATGACTCGTTTATACAACGACTGTTTACTGCTGCCCAACCCGCCCCGTCAGCACGTTTGACTCGCAGTCAAGCAGTGAAAAAGACTCACGGAGATTGATATTCCTTCCCATTGCTTAATTTTTGGATGGGTATATTGAACAAGGACACGGTGACCTCTGAGCTGTTCTTCCGTATAACTTTGAGCCACAACTGCCCGAAAAAGAGACCAGCGAAAACACGGATACTGCAACTGGCCAGCTGAAAACGCCAGGCAACGCGGCTATGATGAGTGGTAGGTCTGCGACGTTCGGCGTGAAAAAAAAACAGCTGCGTTTTATCCAAGGACTCAAAGTATTATGTTCATGATAACATTTTTAGATGAGCATCAACAGTCCTATCGCAACTTTCTTCGTGTTTTACAGACAATCTCAAACGTTATTCTGGTAAATATTCAGTCCAAAGAGACGACAAATCGTCGGATTGTTTTCGAATTATACGCGTACGGCACGCATAACGCATCATGGATGTGGTCGACCGTGTCCAGAACTAATGTTGTACGGTTAGCAGCGTCGCGGGCCCCGGTCAAGTTCCTTGCGTTGCCTGGTGCTTTTTATGTATACGTTCGCCACAAAAAGTTAGTTTACCGATTATACACAAACCGTACGTGTACGGTGTAGGCCTTTGTGTAGTGTGACTCACTGTTGCATTTTTTGCACTGTTGCAACTTTTTTGTGACTAACATCATGTGTTTTTCAACTTTTTGATTTTCAGGATGAAGGTGATTGTTCCCGCCCCAACCTACAAGCTGCTGTGAAGACAACAAGCCTAAACATATTTTATATGTCTTGATGTTAATGTTATGTATCGGCTTCCTTTATTCAGTTTTCATTTATTGACCAAATGTATCAAGTGTGGACACACTTACAGAAAATGCTGAAGAAGAATTTACTGCCAAAGTAAGATTTTTCAGTCCTGAGAAATGGAAGACGCCCAAAAAGAAACATCAGAAAGACACTGGCATAACTTTGAGGGCAGTTTGCACAAAATTAACAACGTAAGGGATTATTTCCGAAGTTGCAAAACTAGCAGCTCTGTATGAAGAAAAAATCAACATATTCGGAGTAGATGTAGCTGATGACGATACGACTAATTTGCATCCTCAGCACGTTTGTCTTGTGTGCTATTCTAGACTGTTTCTGAGTAGAAAACAGCTGCGAACCTGCAACCACCTCTTTGGCAGCCTCATCCCCGAACTGGACAATGCTCAGTATGTAGCGATTGCAATAAGCACTCTAAAGGTGGGAGGCCACCAAAGCCAAAGCATCCAGGTCGTCCAAAGAGTCAACCTAGCAACCTTGACAACCACTTTGAGTATCTCAGGTCTTCTATAAACACTGCCTCAATCCTGAATACTGCTGATTTTGGCAACTTTTCGGCTACGTCTTGTACATTTCTATGTAAACTTTGTAATAAGTTGTTAGGCTTTCCTGTTGCTACACCATGTAAACATGTCTTCTGCCTTACATGCATTAAGACCATCTACATGAAGGAGAATAAAGTCAAGTGCCCATGTCCCATTTGTGACTCACCCACCCACTACAGAGAGCTACAAACTGTGAGAGCTTACTTTTGGGAAAATTTTAACACTAGTAGCCTGAAATGCAACTCTTGCAACAAAGTGTTGCTCCTCTCAGAAATTCATGGTCACAAGTGTAACCCCATTCTTGCCATAAGCAGAGAGATACATCATGCATTAGTCGTAGATGATCCACTCATCGCAACCCCCCTATCTCCAACCCTTGAAAAATTAGGAACAAAAATCCTAAAATCGAAACTGGCCAAGTCAACAGATGGCATCTCAGCAGCTTTCAAGACTGGAGGACAGGTAGGGTTAACAAAATTCAACTGGTTATTTTACAAGAAAATTACATCTGTACAACTACAATAGTAAAAACTAAATGGACTGTGTACATTACAGTTATCCACATTTTGGTACTGTTATTTACAATAAATATTTACAGTATAGGCTTAATTATCATTTATTCAAAACAAATTAAAAATTGGGAGGGGGGTAAGAGCATTAATACAACTTAAAGGACAAACTGAAAAGTTTCTGGGGCAATACCCCACTGAATTGCAACACGAATATTTCTACCAATTTCCAATAATTCCATTATGTTTTCCCTAGCAACTGATGACAACATGCGTCCCCAAACCACGGCGAACAAGCGAGGAGGCGTCATCATCAGCCAAAAGACAAAGGACACTTGTTCTGGATAAGGCACGAAACTTAATCAGTGGAGGTACTGTACAAGTTCAGCTGGCAGATGAGATCAAACTGCAGAAGCACCACAAAGAGCTTCAAGAAGAGCTGAGCAGTCTTCATCATGTCATGATACCACAGGGGGGACCTTCTTTCGCTCAAGGCACAAATGTGCATCACGTGGAAAAGAAACAGAGAGTTGAACGTATACTACAGTCATACTCCTTTGCTTCAATAATTTATTTTAGTAAACCAAAAAACTTTGTAAATGTAAAAAAAAAACCACAAAAATACCCAAAACTCATCGCATCTCATAACTATTTGTTAACTATCTTTACATTTTATGCATTGAGGCTGGCTGAAACAGTATGGAATCCACACAGAATGTGAGGCAAAACTTCGGAGTCAACAAAAAGAAATCATCAAAGACAACATTGTTGCCGAATACTTGCCTTTCACATTCCCAAATGATGAAGGTTGGTTTGTCGTCAAGCAAGCTGCATGCGTTGCAGTCCGTTCCCTCAGTGACAAGGTCAAGCAACAGTTTGAGGAGTATGACAAGTAAGGATTTGTTTCATCCCTTTCTTTTTCTATAGTGAGACAAATGTGAAAAGTAATCAAAGACGGTTATGAATGTTAAGCCAACTATTGTATGTTTTTATTTTTGTTTTATTTACTCAAACAGTGCTGAAAAATTGGTTTGGCATGAAGGAGTCATCCCAAATGACAAAATTTGGATCAAGATTGGTGAGGATAAAAGTGGAGGAACATTTAAGCAGATGATGCAAGTGGGAAATGTTCATCACCACAATTCAATGGCAAACACTGTCGTAATATGTGCCTTTGAGGCAACAGACACCATCAAAAACCTTAACATCGGCCTTCTTCGCCACAAGCAGCAAGTGAAAGAGCTGATGCAGTCCTTCATTTTTAAGGAGCGCGATCGCGCAGGCGCTCCTACCGCGCTCCTCATCTGTCCCAAAGGAGCGTAAAAAATCACGCTCCTCGAAAAATCTAAGAGAACTTTTCAAACAATGGACAATGTGACAATAAACAGTGGAAAACAGCACCTACAAATTTGTGTGAATCGTTTCTGATAATGTACATTATCCTACCGCGAATTAAAATATACATGATGCCACAAAAGTACGATCCAAGCGGGCCCGGACTTGCCAGCCACACACACACTAGCCGGCCGGCTGGCCACACACACATAAACTGCAGTTAATAGCGCACAGCACAATTCACTGAACGTTTGTGTGTTGCTGGCTGCAGAGATCAGATGGTAATCTGCAACGTGTTTCTATTGGCCGGCAACAAGTTTTCGGTAACAAAAGAGCCAATCATGATCGATCTTCTTTACGGGACGCTTAATGCAGAAAGCGGTGTGTTCGTGCTTTGGTTCACCACGAAAACGTTGCACAATGCATTCATAGCATGCGTACGCATTGAGTTCGCGCACGAAATCCACTCATTGTGTTGGACAATATCATGTGTAAACTGTTGTCATGTTCGCGTCGCACGCACGTGCATATTGTGGCCGTAACGTTTTCCAAACTTTGGATCCGACTCATCTGACCATGTCCAAACAAAGTGTGCAAGTTGGGACTTTTTTTAAATGGAATATTTCTAGCTTCGGCTACGAAACCTCGGATGTGAATGGCCGTAAAATGGTCACAAGAATCTGGTGCAAAGTATGCCGCAAATACATCGACAAAATAAAACGCGACGGCAGGATTCGCGGACAAGCTCTTACGGACATTGAAACGTACGTCAAAGGCTCAGTGTACGTCACTAAGCATACAGCAACAAGGCACTTGGGATCGAAGGTACGTGTATATTTTTTGTCTTTAGTCAGAAATACATTTTTGTTTAAATGATTTCCTTATATTCTTGCAAAGAAAGAAAATGTCGGATTTGAAAACCCTAAAACCTTAACTCCGAAACTTCGCTTGTTATTGTTAATATAATAAAATCTGTCAACAGTGTCATGTCTGTCAAGAAATGGCCATCCATTATACTTGCAAACAATATTTAAATTTTTATGGTCTTCAGACTCTTGATTTCATTCAGGTTTATAGTTGATATACTGTTGTTTTAGCATGCCAATTTCCTCTTCACCTTTTTTTATGCATCATGTATGTAATTTTCTTTACTAACAATTTTATTTTTTTATGAGCCCCTTTATTTATATTGTTATAAATCAATTCAAATAACATTAAATTTGTTATTAAATACTTACCTTCATCTGTTCATGTTAATTTGCAGTTCATTGTCCTTCTAACATTCAGATATTCTTAATCTTGTAATAGTTTTGTTTTTATTAGTTTTGTCGTTTTTGCTTATTTGCTTCAGTATTTCCCCCTTAATTACCCTTAAGTTCTAATTTATGTAACATGTTCTTTTTTTGTTGTTATTTTTGTTCAGGGGGACTTCACTTGACAAGCTTTGCTTTTTTGTTGGTCGTTTGCATCTCCAGGTATTGATACTAATTCTAATCGTTTTATTTTATGTACCATATGAAAACAAAGTTTGTTAAGTAATCACCATCTGTCACAGTCACCCCCGTTTAAGTTGCTCCCCCTTTAGTTTCAACAAATTTCGCCGCATCCACTAAAAATAAACCCTTCGCTTGATTCCCACGACCCCTCACAAATTTAAACCTACCTTTTTATGAAATCAAATGAATTAATTATTCGGCCTTAGTAATTAAAAAAAAAATCAACATTTATCTGCAGGCCTACACATTGATTGGAATACCATCACTTCAAACACTTATGGACTGTTTGGTTACTTAATAACAAAACAAAGCAAAATAATGAATAGCTAAATTCATTTTCTAATTTGAGAAATTGTTTTTTTTTTTCCAGGCACATGCTATTGGTTTGGAGTACCAAACGCTTCTTGGAGATGGCGATGAAGCCTCTGGTTCAGCTGCGGGGTTACATCCTACGTGTTCTAAACGTACCCAACCAAGCATTGCTGTTTCTTTACATAATCAAGCAGAAGAGGGCTACAGAAAGTTGTTGAGAACTGCTTACTTTATGGCTGTGGATGGACTACCACTGTCCACTTTCAAGACTCTTGTGAGGGTGCAAAAAGCAAACGGAGTCAAGCTAATCGAGGGAACAGAGAGTAGCAACAAAGCCCGGGAGTTCGTCCATGAAATTGCAAATGCCATCCGAGCCAAGTTGTCATCTATATTATGCTCATCTACTGCATTTTCTGTTCTTAGTGATGGGTCACAGGCAAGAAAAACCTCAAGTGAGAAAGAGCTGGTGATGGTCCAGGTTGTTAAAGCTGGGCACTCTGTCTTCTATGTTGCTGCATTGGAGAACATAGACAGTTATGGGGATGCAAATGCAGAAAATCTACACAAGTCCCTCGATAATGCTCTGGAAAACAAGCTGAAAATTCCCCATGACAAGTATACCAAGGCACTAGTCTCAGCTACTGCAGATGGAGCGTCGGTGAATACAGGAATCTACAATGGCCTACTTGTCAGATTTCAGAAAGCAGAACGTCCATGGCTTGTTTCAATCCACTGTGTCTCTCATCGATTAGAGCTAGCAGTGAAAGACACCCTGATGAAAGAAGGGCCTTTCAAGCAAGTGAGTGAAATGATGACAACCCTCTACTACCTCATGAAACAGTCTGGTAAATTCAAGAGGCACTTCGAAGTGACAGCCAGTGCACTACATTGTCAAGTATACAGGTTCCCAAAGGTCCATGGAACACGTTTTGTTGGTCACCAGAGAAAGGGTCTTAAAATTCTCCTACATAATTGGATACCCCTTGCCCAGGCAATCGAGAATTCCATCGCGAGCAAGAAGCACACGAACATGGACGCTAAGCTGAATGGTATCTTGAAGAAACTCCGAAGTTTGCAGTTTCTTGCCATGTGCTCCCTGTTGTATGAGCTCCTGGACATTGTCTCATCTTTGTCTCTGAAGTTTGAGAGAGGTGACGTTCAAACGTTTGAGGTGTTGCCTGCCATCGATGTAACAAAGGTGAGACTGCAGGACCTACTTGAGGATGAAGACCCTGTCAAGAAAGCAGGCTATAGCATCGAGGGCAATTCAGTATTATGTAATCTTCCAAAAGGGGGGCACATGAGGAAATCCGCTGAAAAGAGGGAGACAGTCTCTGTGGAACTGGATGGCATGTCCCATGCACAACGCCGCAGTGACACATCTACATCAAGCACAACTGATGAGAGTGACATGTCACGCAAGCTGAAACAAAAAGTTGTTCCAGCTCTAATGAAAAAACTTGATGAGCGCTTCCAATCCTTCAGCAACACCTTGTTCAAAAACATGTTTTGGGTGAACCCAGCTAACTGGAGAAGTGACGCGCCAGAAACTGAGATTGAATCTCTTCAAGCTTGCTCTAATCACTTTTCAACAACTTTGGTGGCTTCAGGCTTCGACTCCAGTAAAATCAAGCTAGAGTGGCAGACCCTTAAGATAGTGCACAAAAGTTTCTACCAAGGGATGGAAGCAGGAGAAATGTGGGCCAAGGTACTGCAGTACAGGAGGAAGGAGTTCCCTAACCTCTGCCTCCTTGTGGAGCTTATTATGGCAATTGGTGTAAGTAACAGTACGGTGGAGTGTGGCTTCAGCATGCTGACAGCCATGCTGTCTGACCGAAGGCTGTCACTGAGCCATACTACAATGGAGGACCTACTTGTCATCAAAGCCAATCATCAAGTCTGGTCAGAAAGTGAACGGGATGACATCATTGAGGCATCATTGAAGAACTTCATGTCATCCAAGCGACGGAAGCGGCAAGTGCAGAATTCAACCCCGAACTTTGCTACAGTCGAACATGGTCATTCCATGCCAAAGAAAATGAAGTGTAGCAATGTGGCAAACAGTGACACACAGGACAGTGACACACAGGACAGTGACACACAGGACAGTGACACACAGGACAGTGACACACAGGACAGTGACACACAGGACAGTGACACACAGGACAGTGACACACTGGACAGTGACACACAGGACAGTGACACACAGGACAGTGACACACAGGACAGTGACACACAGGACAGTGACACACAGGACAGTGACACACAGGACAGTGACACACAGGACAGTGACACACAGGACAGTGACACACAGGACAGTGACACACAGGACAGTGACACACAGGACAGTGACACACAGGACAGTGACACACAGGACAGTGACACACAGGACAGTGACACACAGGACAGTGACACACAGGACAGTGACACACAGGACAGTGACACTGACTCAAGTACAAGTGACTCTGATCTATCTGGGCAAACAGACTTGGACAACCAATCTGGAACCGAACACGTCAGTGATGATGAGCCTGATCATGGTGGAGGACCTTCCAGATCGGTGGAACAGGAAGATAGAGGAGATAAGGATTTCGATGACACTGACTCTGACTCATCGTTTTGATTGGGGTTGGTTTACTGTCTGCATTGAACAGAGTTAAAAGTGCAGTGTTCGAATTAGGCAGTTTAAACTTTCAATTAACTTTTTTTTCCTTATGATTGAAAACCAGGTGCAAAACTGCTCAAATGTGGACAAAGAAAATTTGTGATGCAATCTGGATCAAGCTAAATGGGTCATCTGTCTGGAATTTTAGGCCAAAATAGGACCACTTCATCACATCACATTTCTTGGTGTTCCGACTTCCATAATTTTTTAACTAACGATAGTATCAGCTTGGGGTTTTCACAGCAGTTATGCTGAAATTGTTCTCTTTTTTTGACCAGGGTCGACAAACAGCTCGTTAATAGCTTGATCCCATGTACTTTAAATTGCTACTGATTAAAATTCTTTTAAAGGTTTAATGCACATGTGTACTAGTTCCAACTGTGTTCATTTGTACTGATACCAGCTAATATTTATTTTAATTTACAAATATAAAAATATTCTGGTGGTTCAAATAAAATGGAAACAAACATTGAGATGATTTACATGATTAAGGTGTCATTACTCATTAACTCATGTTTTTAACAAATTAAATGATAACTTGAATTTTATAAAACAAAATTAAAAAAAAAACATTAGTCTGTGCTGCCCCAAGAAACTAAGAAAGAAATGAAAATGAAAGCAATGGTCGAGCAAATCGCTCTCCTTAAACAAAAAATGTAAATAGAAGTACAAATAACAGGGTAAACAACCCCTAAACTAAAAACCAGTTGTTTACCCTGTTATTTGTACTTCTATTTACATGTTTTGTTTAAGGAGAGCGATTTGCTCTCCTCGGAGATTTGAGGAGAGCGATTTATAGCTCTCCTGGATTTTCTTTAAATGAAGGACTGCTGATGGACTTAAGTTGGAGGTGATTAGGTATAGTATTTAAATAAAAACAAACTTTTGCTTTAATGTATTCGCCTTTCTTTATACATATAGAAAACTTCATTTCAAATAACTTTCTAAGTTTGAATATAATCCTGAATGTCTTAATTAGTAAGCAAAAACCTAACAGACATGTTTGCTCATTTTTCCCTTAGGGAACATACACTTGAAGTATTCATGTTTGGTGACTATGAATATTTACGCCGCATGTATGGCATCAGCGGACCATCAAGTAAGGTGACCTGAATGTACAATAAAAGTCAAACATTCAGTATTCACTTTGCAAAAGAAAATGTTTGCATAAAATATCAAATAACAACATGCATTTATTCTTGGTTATTTAGGGCGACACTGCTGCTTATACTGCACTGCCAAATAGGAAACCCCTCCCCCAATGAGAAGACGTACGATCCAGCGGGGGACTCTTGACACAATGAAAATTGACCAAGAAAAGTTCATTGACAATGGAGCTCAGCCACAGACGGCCATGAAGTACAATAATGTCATATGAACACCTATGCTTCCCCATACCCCTTAAACAGGTAGAAACTAAATACACACAAAACTTATTATTGAAAAGCTGTTTATTTCTTTAAAAAAAACTCAAGTAAGTCTTTTTTGTTTCAGGTTTGCCCACCAGGACTACATATTAGCCTTGGGCTTTTTTTTTTGAAGCACTTTAACAGCCTTGAGGTGGCTTGCAGTGAGCTAGATATAAAAATTGCATCCACCTTAGCAAGCAGCTCAAAACGTCAGGAGGAGGCTCTCTGTCATGGTTGTCAAGAGTACACCACTGTAATCCAATCTGCCGCGAAGCTGAAGGAGCAAGGTTCTGCCCGGCAACAGAATACTGAGCACTTGCAAGAACAGCTAACAGCTACACTGCTGGAAGTCCCTGATGGCCATGAAGTGCTGGTACTGCTGAATGATGCAATTCAAGAAAGCAAAGACAACAGTAACAACATGGTACAAGTATAAATTATATATAAATTACAAATTATGCATAATCCCACCTGCCCTTTTAGCCCCTCTGCTGTTACATAATTAGTTTTTTATATATATTTCAGAAGACTCGAGCACTGCAGCTCCGAAAAAAATCCCGTCTAAAGCCTGGACAAGGACCTTTGACTGCTGCGTTGGACACAACCCTACAACAATTTAAGGTAGAACGACAAGTGTACCACAACAAGTCCTTCGTTGGAAACCATGTACACAAGTGTTGTAAGGTGTGTATATGATATTTACCCAAAGGATGTGTCTTATTTTAATCCAAATACATATCTATGAGACAAAACTCATAATGACAAATCTTGTTTCACCTTTCATATTTATTGAACTGTTTAAATTGTACAGACATAAACTATCCACAAGTTAACAAATGCTATTGTGACAACAACCAAGACAGTTTGTCCAACATCCCCTCCAAGATTTAGAGAGGCAGAGCAGATTGCTGAAAAGTAAAGCACACTCTTCACCAAATTGGCTGACTGTCACAACCTTTACAAACTCTCCAGGGAAATGGATGAAGTGATATTGAAAGGCTTGGTAAGATATTACTAGTAAATGTCTTCACATCAAAATCGTTATTTTTTAAAATTCTATTATAATTGTGAGAATTTTGAAACTATGCCCTCTTTCTCAATTTTTTTCAGACAAGAATATCAAATCCTACATGGATTTCTTTAGAACGTCCTTCAGTAATGAAAGTTTCCCTCCAAAAATGCACTTATTGGAGGAGCACTGTGTGCCATGGATAATAAGATGGAGAGTTGGTTTAGGTTTTTATGGTGAGCAAGGGGGAAAATCTATTCATGCACGTCTAAATAGCATTCTGTCCAATGTCAGAGGAATGACCGAAGCAACCATCTTCTTAAAGTCAGCGATTGAGACACATTGGATTCAGACGAGCCCAGCTGCAAGGGGTAGGAAAGTGTCCAATAGGTCCAGTCTCAAATGAACCGCATTTGCCAGAATAATGTCTGATTGAGAACTCCGTCTTAAGAACCCCTAGCAACCGGCAACCGACCAATCAAGATATATTATTTTTGTTGTTGTGAGACCATGCATTACATGCTGTGAGTGCTGCAAAAATATTCTAATACCATAATCACACCACCAACAATCCCCATATCACATCATGGAGGAAGAAAAAAATAAACGTGTTTAGATTTTGCAAGGTTCTTTAATAAGTCCTACATTACTCATTTACTGCTACAAATTAAATGCAAGATAAAAACACATGCCTTGCCACATGTAGGACCTATTTGCACTTAACTAGTATCTTGCCATGGTGATGACCGCCATTGATGGAACTGATGGCGAGTATAACCCTAGTACTTTAAGTACTTAGTAGTACAACCATTGAGGTATGACGGAGACTGATTTCTTAACTCTTCCTGACCTAGGGAGTAGGGCTAATGTCACCGAATGTAATGCCCATGTAAATCGGAGTATGTAAATAACCGTACAAAAATGTACATTTAATTTCAAATTCAATAAACCCGTCTCGTTCTCTCTTCTTTTAAAGACTATTTGGTTCTGGGTGTGATTCATAGATTGACTGATATTTGTTAAATATAAACTACGGAACTTATCTTTCTGGTCTGGGAATCGTCCCGACACGTCGACATGTTTCCTCACTTTAACCTGTGATTGACTTCAATGAGCCATGCCTGGTGACCAGGGATATCCAAATTAAGGAATAAGCTGATTTTATATGTTTTCTAAGCTAGAACAGTTTTCAAATCATAAACATTTTTTTTATAATTTGGAGTAATTATAACCCGGTCTTTCAACATTTGCTATTGGAAAAAAAAATGTTGCTCCAATTGTATAGTGTGGAACTGTTTTTTTTTTTATAAAGTCTGAACTAAATCTCATCCCAATAGTATTTAGAAAACTCATTTTTTCATAAAAGACCAAAAATTTACAAAACTGTTCCTAAAAGTGCAAATTTAAACCAAAACATAGCCAATTTGCACGAGCGACTTCATTAAAAAAGATGATATTTTTTTAAAGAAAATAACGGCTGGTATAAGTCTAACCCTAAGCTTTCGACTGATATATAAATATTCATTACTTGTAACTATCTGTGGACGATGTCATTGGATAAGAAACGAAGCGTTGATGACGCGTTTTGTTTACTTCTAACGAAGCCAGGATTTAACAACAACATTGCGCATGCGTCAAGTCTGCGTGAAGCGCCTGGACATACGTGTGTGATAGGGGATCAAAATACGTAGAAAAACGTGAATACTGTGCTTTTTCAATAGCAAACGCGGATCAGTGGGAGTGACTCATTTGCAGATACGCTGCGCGCGTTAAACCTATTGTAACGCGTGCGCAGTTCGTGGCCTAGTTTTTCACTGCCAGACCTCTACAAGAAGAGAAGCGCCTCCAGTATTTGGGTGGCTCGGTTCGTTCGAAGGAGTCCCACGTATCCGCTCTGTTCACAAGTACCCCCTTACCGGTGTAGCATGAATTTAGGTTTTATGAAATACGGACTCATTGGTGGTATTGCGCATGCTTATGCATAGATAATTAGGAGAGGGACTGGTCACGTGAAAGGGTTTAACCAATAAAAGGGGAAAAGAGTCCGATTTTCATACGAGTCTGATTTTCATACGACACCGGCAAAGGAAGTACAAGTTGGGGGTGACCGACAGACGCCATCTTGCCTGACTGCATGCAATTCATTTGTACATAGAACAAATTCCTGGTGTACGCGTGTCACACACAAGGAACGGTGCGCATCAACCAGCGAAATGTCCCGCCTAAGAGTGCGCTCTTTGTTAGCACATGGAGCTCATAGGATAAAACAGCAGCTAGCTAGTGCCGTAGAGCAAGGTGCACAGCTGGTAAGTGCTGTGTTTGTAAGTCGGCAAAGAAGTTCCGTGAAGTTTACATCATTAGTCAGCAATCAAGAGCTGTGAAGAATTTAGTCAGCATTCAAGTGCTGTCAGTGATTGATGAATTTATTTTGCATTAATAGACAGTGCACAACTTACAAGCCATTGCCTCCGAGCTAGCCGAATGTACAAAGCAAATTAAGTACCCGCATAATTTATTAATTCAGTAGACGTAGACCCCCACATGTATTTGTATAGCTCCGGAGTCTTGCTATTAAAAGAGTCACTTCAACTTAACAGCGAATGCAATAACAGTTTTATTAATTTTAAATGATTCCCTTTCATGTTAATAGAGTTGAATAAGCCAAGTTCGCACTGTTTATAAATTATTTGTTGCGGATTGAGTTTTTGAATTCCCACGCTGTTTCCTTGAACTCCTCGCTGTTTCTTGTTCGTTTCATGTGCCTGCTGCGCATTAGGAGACTGAGTTTCAATAGTACGCCTTTTCTGACTGACGACTGCGGAGACTTCCTGAGAAGCCTTAGCTGCCGTACCCCTCCCCTCCCTCAGTCCACATATAGTTAGTTCAGACTGGTTTAGAGTTTCACCCCTCACCCCTCTTCCAAATCCACGCCCCTTTCTGGTTCCACTGACTGCGCCCTCTGACGATCCACTCTGCATCATTATCTGGTGAAGCTCCAGCAGACACATCCGTCCTCAAGCCGTGAGTGTTACAAGTGAGTGTTTATCTTAACGGGCACCCCCTCCACATTTTTGGTGGCAGCGGTGGAATGTCGATTTAAGAAGTTAACCATATCGTCGAATGCCTACACACGCTGTCCAATTTTTCTTTTAACACTGGTAATTGTTTCAAAGGAGTCGGGATTTACAAACTCTGGTTCTCTGGGGAGAACTTCAGCATTGTTCGTAGGGATTTTCTCTTTGTAAGAAATTACATTGGTCACGTGTTCCTTGGCGACAGCAGATTCCCTGATATCTGGTGCTTCCCACTTTTGAAGTCCACCACCACGCACCCGGCAGTATCGGTAAGTTACATCGTTTTCCGTTCCACACTCTAAACAAGACTTCAGCCTGGGTTTCTTGTTTGATGTGCTCAGCAATGAAATCAGTAAAGTTACCGGAAGAAGTTTCCAACAGCTGACTTTCAACTTTAGTCCATGGGCCAGACGCCAAAATTTGGCTAATTGGTACCACCTGAGGTGCCAAAATCTAAATATATTTTTTTCGAAAGGTCTATGTCTAGGGATAATAAATTGATGTGATATCAATCCCTTAATGGTAGTAAATGCCCATTTTTCAAGGCTTGTCAGAAAGAGCTCACTACATAAACCCTAGCTTTTGGGTTAGGATATGGTTGTACAATTCACAATTAGTATATATGCTTAGTTGTATACTGATGGAGTTTGGTCGAATTATCAGCTTGCTAAAGGTTTTAAAAATGACGTCACGTAAAAATACATATTGCCTCCAGAGGGCGCTGTTCGTAGATGCATATAATGTGCTCAGCAAAAAAAGAGAGGGTGACATTGCTGGCTGGAGTAGAATTAATCGACATCTCGAGACAGTACAACTGCTCTTTTTCAGGAATCTAAACAAGTAAAAAAAGCCAAAATAGCAAAAATTCCAACAAAACGAACTTTAACGACAATAACAGAACTTAAACAAGGGTGACAAATGTGGTGATTGGATCAGGTCGAAAAGGGTTTCTGAATTTGCTTTATGAAAGTGTAGTATCCAAACATATACACGTTTAATATAGAATAAGTGTTAAGCCACATGTCATTTCCAGGCCACCATACAAATGTACAGGTTTGACCTTTGTACCCTGTGTACAGTATTCGTGCATTGCATGTGTAGTTCCAATAAAGCAGCATACAAATCAATCTAAACAATCTGTCTCCATCCTCCGATTCTACACTGGCGACGAGGATAAAAGGTCACCAATCCTAACATTAGGATCCTGGACAGTAACTGTGAGTTAAAATCTGCAGCAAATCTTGGAGCAAAAGTGTGAAATTTGGCGGATAAAACTTCGTCTGACTGTGAACATTCTGCATATTCGCTGTTCATAGAGAATACACACGTTCACGTGTATACAGCTATACATACACGTACATGTACTTACTGTCCTACTCGCGATTTTCAGCATTGTTTATCGTGATTTTCGTCATGGCCTCCGGTGGTTTTTCAATGCCGACATTGCCACCATTTGATCCACATAGTGATCCATCTTCAGTTTCCACGAAATGGGAGAAATGGACACGAAGATTCGAAGGCGCAATGGTTGGGTTTGATATCACTGACGATACACGGAAAAAAGCGCTACTTCTACACTATGGAGGTGAGGAACTACAGGACATTTATGACACGCTCAAGTCAGATAGCAATGACTATGCTGCTGCCAAAAAGGCCCTCACTGACTACTTCGCGCCAAAGAAAAATGTCGTCTATGAGACCATCATATTCAGACGCACCAAGCAAAATACCACTGAGAACATTCACCAGTACTGCACGAGGCTTCGTCAGCAGGCTGTGAAGTGTGATTTCAGTGACATCGATCGCGAACTCAAAACGCAGATCATTGAAGGCTGCACCTCTAAGCACCTACGGCGCAAATCTTTGGAAAAAGACAGAAACTTGACTGAACTGCTAGAACTAGCACGATCACTGTCGTTGTCGGAGAGCAGAGCACATGACGTAGAAGCAGATGGCTCACAAACAGCCGTCAACAAAGTTGCCAAGCCCAAGCGCAACTTCAAAAAGCCTACCCGACATGACACCAAGCCCCCAAAGCGTACATGTTTCTACTGCGGAGGATCGTATCCCCACAAGAACCAATGTCCTGCCAAGGGTCACGAATGCTCAAAGTGCGGTAAGCAAGACCACTTTGAGAAAGTCTGCAGATCAGACAAGCAGCGTAAAAACACTCCGACTCGCAAACGTCGAGGATAGCTCAAGCGAGGATGAATACCTATTCGGCATCCACAAAGCAAGCTCAAACAAGCAGCCAAGAGTCGATGTTCGAATCTGCGGTTCTCGCATCAATGCCTTAATCGACACTGGAGCCTCTGTCGACGTCATGAGTCAGCGCACGTTCTACACATTAAAAATCACACCGCCCCTCACAAAGCCAACACACACTCGCGTATACGCGTACAACAGTGACAAGCCTCTACAGATCACTGGAACATTCAAAGCACTGGTGACGCACAAAGAAAACACATCATCAGCCACTTTCTTTGTCGTTGCTGGTAACTGTGACACTCTGCTGAGTTTCAACACAGCGTTGGCCCTCGAAATCGTCCACATTTCGTACGCAGTACAACATGATGGCGATATCCTGTCGAAATATGCAGATCGCTTCGAGGGAATCGGCAAACTAAAGGACACTAAATGCAAGCTCCATATCGACGAAACTGTAAGATCAGTTACCCAACCACATCGTCGAATTCCATTCCACGTGCGCAAACAAACAGAAAAGGAGCTACAGCGTCTCCTCGATCTCGACATCATTGAACGCGTTGGTGACGAGCCAACCCCATGGGTCTCACCGATTCAAGTTGTCCCAAAACCCAAGAGTCCTGATCAGATCCGCATTTGTGTGGACATGCGTGCGGCAAACAAGGCAGTCCAACGCAAACGCCATATAACGCCTACAATCGACGACATCATCTCAAAAGTCAATGGAGCCAAAGTCTTCTCAAAGCTAGACTTGAATGCAGGATACCACCAAATTGAGCTCGCTGAGGAATCGAGATACATAACAGTGTTCTCCACACACATCGGACTATTCCGATACAAGAGACTCAATTTTGGAGTCACCTCAGCCGCAGAGGTTTTTCAGAACCTCATCCAATCATCACTGCACGGTCTTGATGGTGTCATAAACATTAGTGATGACATACTCATCTTCGCACGCTCACAAGACGAGATGAACACCCGGCTCGATGCATGCCTGCAAAGGTTGAGAGATCGCAACCTCACACTAAACAAAGCCAAGTGTGAATTCAATCGCGATAGCATTGCTTTCTTCGGACACATATTCAGCGCAGAAGGCATATCACCAGACCCCCAGAAGGTCAAAGCAATCCTCAATGCTTCTGATCCGCAAACCGTGAGTGAGGTACGCAGCTTACTTGGCCTCGCAACATATTGCAGCAGATTCATTCCCGATCTCGCAACAATATCTGCTCCCCTTCGCGATCTCACACGCGAATCAACCGAATAGAAGTGGACCAAAAAGCACCACAACGCGATACGCGAAATCAAGCAACGCCTTGCCACCAGCTGTTCTACATCCTACTATGACCCCGCCAAAGCAACACAGCTAATCGTCGACGCAAGCCCTGTCGGTCTAGGGGCCATTCTCGCACAGACTGACAAAGCTGGAAACCAATCCATTGTCGGCCTGGCAAGCAGGTCACTCACACCGGTCGAGCAACGATATTCGCAGATCGAACGCGAAGCACTCTCAGTCACATGGGGAACTTTGCACTACCATCTCTACCTATATGGTAATAACTTTGAGGTTGTCACAGATCACAAAACGCTTGTGACACTTTTCAACAACCCCAATAGCAAGCCACCCATGAGAATTGAACGTTGGATCCTGAAACTGCAAGAATACAAGTTCCAAGTAGCATATCAGCCTGGTAAGCTGAACCCGGCTGACTACCTCTCCAGGCATCCGCTTCCAACGACCAAGCCAGCAAGCCACGAAGAAAAAATGGCAGAACAGCACGTCAGCTTCGTAACCAGCAACGCTGTCCCAAAGAGTCTCACATACTCAACTACAGGCTCTCAACCCGCCGAGCTCCTGTTCGGACGCCCTTTTCGCACACGCATCCCTCAGACAGACATCACAACAGACAACGCTGACCGCGAAATTCGCGAACGCGACAAGCGCAAGAAATTCAACATGAAAAAGAACGCTGAAAAACACATGACAAAGAGACACAAGCCAATCACTCGCGGTGATCCAGTTTTGGTGAAGCGTGATGGCTTCATCAGAAAGCAGCAAACCCCGTATGACACGAATCCATACCGTGTCGTTGACGTCAAAGGTCCCATGATAACAGCCGAACGCGAAGGACTTCGAGTCACACGAAACTCTTCGTTCTTCAAAACACTCCCACACAGCGTCGCTACAGACAATGAGTCTTTTGAGCCAACAGACATCGTCCAAGAGACAGCACCCGATGAACCAACCAAGAACACTGGAACAAGCGAGTCACCAGAGACACAAACAAACACAGAACAACGCTACCCGACTCGCACTCGGAAATCACCTGAGTACCTCAAGGACTATGTGCCATCCTAGGCATCACAGGCACACAGACCAAAGACTCTTGCCAAAGTACACTGGACATTGAACTGTAGACAACAGACTTGTTTGCTTAAAATCAAGCACGCTTTATTTTTGTATCCTTTTGTTATTTGTTCTGTAACAGTTAATCTCTTTAATTCAAAAAGAAAAAAAGGGCAAATATTGCAGATGTGAGGTAACTGCATGTTTACATGATTGTTCTAGTTAAAGTTACTAATTTGTTAATCTTTAATTCAATCATTGTTCTGGCCAAAGTTTTTAAAAAAAAACTATTCTTAAATCGCCATTGGACTTAAAGAGGTTCACATGATGCACGAGTACCTTTTTAATCTAAAACTCCTGAAAAACAGAATCCAAGGTTGGGAGGGATGTAGTATCCAAACATATACACGTTTAATATAGAATAAGTGTTAAGCCACATGTCATTTCCAGGCCACCATACAAATGTACAGGTTTGACCTTTGTACCCTGTGTACAGTATTCGTGCATTGCATGTGTAGTTCCAATAAAGCAGCATACAGATCAATGTAAACAATCTGTCTCCATCCTCCGATTCTACAGAAAGGGTATTAGAAGGAAGGGTAAACGAATGGTGTGGGGACTTACCAGGTTGGGTGTGTGTGCGTTTGTGTTTGTGCGTGTTGCCTATTAGAAGTGACAGAAAGTGGAGTCTGTAGCAAGCGGAGAGTAGGAGATAAGACAGTGACGGGAGTGAAAAGGAATATGACAATGGACAATTAAGCCACAAAGAAAGTGGACAAAGGAGGAGCTCACAGCCCTTAGTGTCAAGCGGGAGCTAGGTGGGATAGGGTGTGTTATTGTTGTTTGATGTTCATCACAGCTGCTTCTACTGTGTTGAGTTGGTGCATTTGCAACTTTCCAAAAGAAGACTTACCAAATTGGTGTTAAAAGAAACAGACTTGCTTCAAACATCGTAATTAATAGCACTAAACTTCATGTCTTCTGGCATGCAGTCATTTCAAAGAAAACAAAATACGTCATTCCCAAGGTGATCGGTGATTGTTTCATAATTGATTCATAATCGATATTAAATCGAGTTAGGTGTAAAACGATTCAAAAACTTGTTTAATCCCTACTTAGTTTGTGTGGAAACTTTCGAATTTAAGGCCTTTTAATATGTTGCTTCAGATATTTAGTGTTCTTTTCTTTCAAGTTGGCAATAACAGTTTCTCTGGAAATGGGCCATTTTCAAAATGTATAGTAAAATTAGAAAAAAAATCATGCGCACTTTTAAAAATGCCATACTTTTTATAATATTTCCGACCAATTAAAATTGGCCTCATAACTTGGTCTTATACCGGCTTTAACATCACTTTCACAAAGATCAAGTTTCTTAAGCTCTGGTAGGAGTTTCTACATTGCACTCAGTTCTTGGTCAATCAGATGATGCAAAGTGTGCACTCTCACTCATTCTGAAGCATATTTTTTAACTACAGTTTAGTTTGTGATTGCGAAATAGTAATTGTTCAAGCCTTTGTCCCTTTGATGATGCTCATCCAGTGGCCGAGCTAATGGCACACTAGCCTTCAACCCAACATGCCTACTACGTGGCCGCGCAGGACACGCGGGACAAGATACGAGCTTGCTGGCAACCGTAAGGTAAAGTAAAGTGGTAGAACAACGTTAATATACAATGTATCTCTGATGTTTTAAATTGAGTAAACTATGTCAAATATTTTTATGTAAATAAACATTCAGTGAACAAACAATATGGCCCTGTTCATAATGAATAGAAAAAAAACAATTGTTAAACATTTTGTGCAAAACAGATACTACTTTTACGGTTTCTTTACCATTTCTGTGACCTTAAAATAGTTCTCACAGAGTACAGATATGGTGCATGGAAATTGCCTTTTAAGTAATGAAATGTATTCATTTGGTTTCATTTGGTTTTGTTAGGAGGGTGTTGGGACTGCCACAGTGCAAGTTAGTTTGACCTTTTGATTTTGAAAAAAAAATGCATATTTAACCTTAATTTGAGCTACAGTTTTTCAACTTCAAAGGACCAAAATAGGTTACATAACTGAACCACGGGATAAATATGAAGTACAATCACAAAATAAAGGGTTGGCAAGTTCTGATATCAATCTGATCGAGTTCTTTAATAACAAAGGTAAAAAAAAAAAAACAATATTTATTTGTGTCTCTGCCTACTAAACTTGCAGAATAATCCACCTACTGATGAGATCTCTCAGATTTCTAGCTGCCAGGTAGGTCAAGTTGTTTGGCTTTTGTTTATGCATGTTTGCTGATTATAAAGTCATATCAAATTTAACAACTTGTCTAAAAGTTTAATGAGTTTTTAAGTTTAGGGTATATGGGCAAGTTTGTTTCAATGCGTAGCAGATTAGCTTGGTTGAGAATTTCGTTTTGTAAATAACTGCAATCATGGACTCACCATTTTACCGTACCTTCAAAATTCCAAATTTACCTGACCTGAAAAAAATTACGGATTGTATTTTACTGCATTTTCCATTTAAAGCTAAAGTAGAAGAAAAAAACCGTATTATCCAGTATTCAGAACAGTATCACAATTATTATTTGAATAACACTTTGAATGCCTCATTTTAGAACTGTCCATTCTCAAGTGTTGAAAAGTAGATGTTCAATCACTGAAAATGTTCAATTACACATTAGCATCTAATGTTTTCATTAGTGAAAGTAATGTAAAAGACTGTTATGTCATGTTTAAACAGGTTGAATCATCCTTTAATACAATGGGTGATAAGATTGGATCAAAAAGAAGCCGGTTAAAGGTGAAGAGATATGGAGCTATACAAGGCATCTACTTTACTCTAAGAGTGAGGAAGACCACTGCCATCAAGCTGTTCACAAATGAGCCTGTGGACAGAACAATGTGTAGAAACATACGAAGTGCAAGTGCGGTCATCACAGAAAGGTTAAAGTTGAAAGAGAAGAGATGAAAAAAAACCGCTCAGCTTGATGAAAAGTCCCTGGATAAAAAGAGCAAGTTAGCGCGGCTGAGACACTACAGCAGCAGAGAAAGAAGGGAAGAACTAGGGTTCTCCAGAAATTGGCCCAAAGACAGAAAAAGACATGCAAGTGCAATACACTCAATACACATGTAGTCAACTGTTGATATGACTGCGGTAAAGTCTCAAGAATCTTTTCATCAAGGTAAGTTAAAAGTCCAGTGAAGTCAAAAATGTTCTTGAGTCAATTCACAAATCAAGTTTCTCATGTAATTAAGTCAGACCTCAAGTACTTTCAAGATAAGTGAAGTCGTAAATCAGAATTTGCATGAAGTCAAGTTACAGATTCAGCTACAGATTTGCATGTGCATTTGTATATGACTATCCAAGCTGAAGAGTTGTTTTAAACATATTACTTTTTGTCACTATCACTTTCGAATTTAATTGTTTTTTTTGTACATGCATATACGGATGTGAAATAAAACAGACATATACATCAACGGTCTAAACAATTATTGTCGTCATGAGTTTAATTAACTGTTGTATTTCTGTATGTATTATTCTTGGTAGTTTGATTTACAATTCTCTTATGGAACAAACTATGAGCAAAATTCATTGAGACTGATTAAGTCTGATGTTTTCAAAGATGGTATGTTCCATTTAGTGGTGGATCGAGTATGTGTGGTTTAGCTTATCTTTTCTTGTGCAAGCTTATCTTGTCTTAGAATAATCTTGTTTTATTCATTTTTTCATGGTTCTTCAAAGGTTATTATTAAGCACCATGGAGTAATTACAATGACAAATTACGATTGTTCACATGTTAAGAAGAGATACATTTTACGAACACAGGAAAGGAAGAAAGAGTTCCATACACGCACACTACTAGACATGTTGTGAGCAAACTCCTTAAGATATTGAATAGGTCTAAACAATTCCAAGTGTTTTGAAGTAAATGCCGAAATATTGTCACTGCTGAATTGATTTCTTCGAACATGTTATTTCTGATTGCTGATAAGTCACTATAGGCTAAAATTTGTATTGTTCGTATATGAAATTCTTACTGAAAAGGATAGCAAATAACGCTACCTTGTGTTTAATCGTGTGGGAAGCGGTCCGTCACAAGGAAAGGCTGGCAGTTTATTGAGACATCCATCATGATACCCTGACATATTTACAAGCAGATGTTTTAAATGAATCGAGAGGCACTTTGCGCAGAGTCCTCAAGCACACCCAAGCAGTGCAATTCTTAGTCAATGGATAAAGAAACATTTTAATTAGAAATGTGTTTGTGGACACGCACAAGCTGTTTTGGCTGTTTAAAACGACGTGTAATGAAGACAAGACAACGTCACTTCAAAGTTGATAGCCAACATGTCCTGGTTTACATGTATTTGGAATTACAAATCAAACCAGTAAAAGTTTATATATATGGGTACTTGACAAGTGCCCCTTAAATGGAAGGTCACATGACTTGAATTTTCATTAGTAACATCGGGGTCACATAAATGTGCATGTCTAGGCATATTTGATGTTTGACAGGGGACTGGGCTCCATTGACAAACGGGTAACACTCATACTACTTCCTGACGGGCAATTAACAAATACTGCAACCAATAATAACCAAATTTCTTGACCTGATCTGGACTCCCTCCTTGATGCATTAGATGAGTACGACAACCTGGAGTCATCTCGCCAAAAAATGCCTGCCAGCACTGGAGACATCTCGTTGTCTGCCAAGAAAGGCTGGGATTTAAGGACCCCGGGAAACTGATGAGACCAAGTGTGCCCCAAAAGGAAATGTTATTATATATAATATTATTATCACATAAATGTGTATGACATATTTTTTGCTTCATAAAAAATACACTTTTGAAATAAATTCCACCATACAAAATTCCACAATGCAAGGGCGGATTTAGAGAGGTTACTGCATGTCAGTCGCCTCGTCCACACACATGGATCCAATACTGTTTGGATAAACATTAGTTCAAACACAGAAAAGATTCATCATTACTTTAATACACATTTACCTCTTCCCTGACTAGTTCACATAGGAAATTCTTCGGTTTTAATTCTGGGTGAACCCCTAGAGGAAACAAAAAACCTAGAACTATATATGCAAAGGATTAGTTAACTTTATAAATATTAACAAACTAAAAAAAAAAAAACCAGTTTATCTGGTTTTCAAAGTACAGAGATTAGTTGAACGTAAACGTGTTTGGATTGAACGAAGCTTTGAACAAAAATATTGAAGTTTGAAGAGACAAACTGTCTACAGGTTCAGTCAACATTGGCTTGAAAGATTTATCATTAACAACTTCTTCTGTGAACTTATTCACTGGGCTTTGTAATTCCTTCAGGAAGAAAACAGGCAGACCAAAACACAGTGCACGTACCTTCTGTCTCTCTCAAAGCTTGCACACTTTTTGATCAAACACCCTGAGTGGAGGACCCGCTACAACTTGTCGGAGGCAAAATGGGCCCGAATTAAAGACTTCAATGCAGAGTTCACATCATCACTAAGAAAGGCAGTCTGAATACTGGGACAAGAACTGAAGTCGGACATCATGGTATATTTGTGTCTAAAGTGTAAATTATCTCAAGTGGATCAGCAAATTGTCTCAGTCAGGGTAAACTATTGAAAAACGAAATTCACTTTTCAAAGAAAAAATCCCAAAGAAAACGCAAAAAAGCTAGATTCTGTTTTACTTGCCTAAAAGGGACACACATCCGTCGTGATTATTATTTCAAAACGCCGAAAAAGTGATATTTGCGGCATTTTAGTAACCACGACGTTAGAAAAACTGTAGTTAACATTGGTCAGTAGTGGTGAACAAAATATAAGTCAAATGAACCGCGACGTTACAAAAGAAATCATGCTGTCTTTAAAAACGGCAACTTGTCCTTTGTAGATCACCAGCCGGTCTCACCAATATGGCGTCAAATTCATTCATTGTGCGGCTCTTTATTAGCTATCCAGCAGCCGATTTCACGAAACTTGTCTTATTTTACAACTTATCTTAGGACTTAGGACGAGTCCCCCCTCTAAGATCGATCCTAGCTAAGACGCGTCCAAAGATCGATTTCACCAAACGCATCTTATGGAAGACGCATCCGAAATACAATTTTACAAACCGCCAATTATTGAACGAGGATGACCTTTTGCGTGCTACGGCCGTCGGAAATGTACACGCGCTTGCAGTAAAATCAAGATGGCTGATTGGCGGTTGTTTTGGAGTGAAAAATTCGTCTGCTAAAAAACGTCTGCTAGCTCGTTTACCACGTAAGTATATACGTTACTAGGGAAATTGGTCAATTTTGGTTCTTTGCATTGTACAAGTTACACAATGAGGTCATTTTTGGGGTTGTAAAAACACATTTTGAGTCGCAACATCGAATGCGTCTGTGGTGTACCGTGTACATGGTGTACATGTACATGTACTTTACTACTTGTGTACGTACACATGGAGCCAACGGCAACGTGCAGCAGCATGAACGTCAACGAAAGTGGGGGGACGGGGAGGTCTAGGGCCAGTAATTGGTCTCACGAAGAAATAAAAGTGTTGAGTGAATTTGTGCGGGCCTACAAGCACCAGCTGATGGGCACGAGCAGCAAATCCACAGCCAATGTGGAAAAGGTTAAAATCCACTACTGGAAAATGGCAGGGAGAGTATTGGTGGAAAATGGAGGGGTGGAGCGACCGTGGAAAAAAAATAGAAAGAAGTGGCAAACCATCACCAGTCAAGCACGGTCATACCATAGAGAATGTAACAGAACGGGTAAGCTCATTTAGTTAAACAAACATTTATTTAATATTTTATTTTTAATTTGTATTTATTTGTTTCATTTATTTATTCATTTTTTTTTTCGGGGGGGGGGGGGATTGTCCTACATCATAGTTTGTACATTTGTTTGTGATTGTCTGTGTACATGTTGCCCTCACACCATGGATCAGTTACAGAAAGAATTTTCCATCCTGATGCCACTTTTTTATTGTATATTATTCAATGAAGATCAGTCCTTGCAAAACTGTTGAATAGGCATGAATTTTGCCCTAGAAGACATTTCCAATTTCGTTAAAAAAATACGTTGAAAATGCACTCTACTCTCCATAGACTTTGTACACAACCAAAGAAGTGGCGACGGGATAATACATGCTTTCCTTTTCATTATTCATGCAGTCTCGACCCCAATAGTCATCCTTTTGTAATTTTCTATAGACCTAGCTAGGCCTCTCACATAAATAACTTAACATGGCAGTAAACTGTTATGAAGGTGGGGGGGGGGGGGATTGTACAATGGGTCCATTGTTCTTGCAACATCAGCATCTGACAAAGGGGAAATAGATGTTCAATGGGCAATGGATATATGTTTGTCACAGCTCAATATAAGGTTAAGGCCAAACAACACTGCTGTTTCTAATAACGTTTAAAAAAAAGTTGGTTGTGCATCATTGTTGGCTTTTTTTTCGAAATAATACTAAGCATGTGGTGTTAACATTTTTAAAATAATCGTTCAAACAAAAAGAATCTAAAACTTTCCATTTCAAATAGAAAGGGATCTTCATTCATGTGGTTTTCTTCGAAGTTAAACATACAAAGTCTGAAGGGGAAATTTTTGCTTTATTAATTCTAGAACTTGATTAAATTTAATACATTTTTCTATGAAAAGTATTTTTTTTTCCTTCCATCATTTGTTTTATGATGATTACAAGTCTAGATTTTCTTCATTTTTATGAAGATGGAGGAGAAAAACCGGATCTGAATCCAACATTCGAAGTCGTGCTAGATGCACTTGCACCAGTTGCCAAGGATGGCATCCTGTCGGCGGATGATGGTGAGTCTGACCCAGCAGCTGCAATACCAGTTGAGGACAGCACAGCTGAGGAATTGATGCTAGACATGGTGGCAAATAGTAAGTAGTTTTAATTAGTGTGCAGTCATACAAGCATTCGATTTCATTAAGGTCATCATAACTTACGATGCATCGCAGCGCTGCGACGTGCCGTACCTCTACGATGCGTCTCAGCTGCAACGCGTCCTGCGATCCATTTCAAAAAACATGTCGTAAGTGCGACGCGTCGAAGGTGTATTTATAGCACAACTTGGTGACTGTTTTATGTATTTAATCAGTGTACAGTAAATAGCAGGCATGCAACTTTTCCTCGGTTCAGCTGATTTCCCCTTTTTTTACTTCACATGTGTGCCATTGAAAATAGAAAAACACTGTACAAAGTCTGGGAAAAATTTGAATTTCCTCTTTTTTTTGTGATTTCCCAGTTGCATGCCTGAAATAGTCGTTTGATATTCAACAAAGAGTCGTTGGATCTTCAGTCGAAATTTGTTAAAATGTAAAACAAAATGGAGGCCGTGTGATGCAATTTTAAAGGAAAACAAGCTTTCAGGGGACTGTTCCAAGTCCCAAGTCTTGCAGGTCGAGTCCCAGCCACAAGAGACTCCGGTCAAGTCAGAGTTGCAAGTCGCCTTTAAAAGTTATTTGGGAAAAAAATTGAGGTACTGCTAAAACCTCTCATTGTAAATGTTTCCATTTTTTCACAGCTTTTCTCTAATTTAATGAACTGGGAATACATATAATTTTTTAAAAAAATCTGGCTCGAGTCCTAGTTATACAAGTCACAGAGGCAATGAATGCTCTTGGAATTTAAAATTGTTCAAGTAATATTAACTTAGGTTTAATTCAGCACTGAAGGAAATTTTTGTGCAGTAAAAATACAAACAAATGACATTGTATCAAAACTATTTACACAAGAAAAAGTATGTACAGTAATTCAATATTTCCTGGCAATTATTAACGACTCTTGATTTAATGAATATTATTCAGTTTTAAGCAAACATTTTTGTTTTGTTTTTGTTTTGTTTGTTTAAAGCCATCAGTCTAGGTGAAGTCGCACCTGCTGAGTCCAACCCGGCCCCTCCATCAGAGGAAGCACATCATCGACATCCAGGAATTGTTCAGGAATCAGAGGAAGTGACAACAAAAACTACAAAGGTGGACTCCATCTTGGAGATAGAGAAACAGAAACTGGCGCTGGAACAAGAGAGACTTCAGGTTGCTAAGGAGCAGCTGGAAGTTAGTAGGCAGATTTCAGGTTCACTGGGTGAAATCAGCCACAACTTCCAACTGTTCCTTTCCAACCTGTTGCTGAGGGATCAAACTAATTAAAGGGCTCCTGAAAATTACAATGCATTTTTGTCGGCAACATATTTTGTGCAACTTTCTGCTACATTCACATCTATCATTGCCGGTCAAGCAGTTTAGCGATCCACATTCTCAGTTCACTGCACAGTAGCCCCGTCATCGTCATGAAGATATAATATCACTGGCATTTTGTTGAAAACTGCACTTCTTTAAACATTTAAAATGTTCCAAGCTTTTCCGGCCAACTGAGGGCGCTGTTGTCATAATGTTATTTCAGGAAGACACTTGTCAGTTGAGGGATGTTCTGATCAAATTATGAACCCAAATATTTGCTTATTGGAAACATCTGTGAGATAAATTTGCTCATTGTCTTACTGACGCCACAATGGATCACCACAGAAAAGGAATTTACAACAGCAAAGTATCCAAATTCGGGCACCTGTTGATGCTGTTCTAGATGCAACATTAAGGTCTCTGCCTGAAATGACATTATACTTTTGCTTTTATGTGGCAATTTGTATGAGCCTCAAAATCAAAAGGCAGCAAAATGCCCTTAGAAATGGCAAACAAAAGTTAAATATAAGGTTTAAGGGGATACAAATTTGCATTTTGAAGGATTGCATAAAAACAAGTTACATTGCATGAGCCCTATAATTATTTAGGTCTAAAGAATCATTAAACTGAAACTTATGAAGAAATTGTCAAGTAGTTAAAGAAATAAATCCATTCAATCCCATTGTGTTGCATGAAGGTATTTTGAAGAAACTAATTATAGGCTTGAAAAACGTGCAAAATTAACTCGACATCTCTAATGTGTAAAAATTTATTCACAAGCATTTTCAGTGCCTGTAAACATTCTGAGTAGGATTGCTGAAATTTTAATACATAAAATAGGTTACAAAAACACCAAGATAAATGAACAAATCTTACAGTCAAATTATATGTTGGATGGTTCTGTTTTTCAGATTCAATTGATTGCTGCAGGTTACATCAATAAAATGGATTTACTCTACTGGAACTCTGTATTAGAATGGATTCGAAAAACATAAGGGTTCATTGGTACTGGAAACAACAACCTGTAAATATGCAACATAGAGGGATTGATAAATTGTACAAAAACAAGTGGGATTGATAAAAAGTATTCAAAAGTATGCATTTATTATTCTGTTCCTCTGTATCGTACCATCTTGGATGTGCCCATCATAGGGTATGTCATCGTTTCCCTCATTCTCTCTCAGCTCTCCCTCTATCTCCGGCTCCCTCAATTCTTTGGCAGTGTTATGCAGCACACAACAGGCCTTGATAATTTGACAGGCTGTACGGGGGGCGACACGGAGCCCGAGTGACAAGCAGGGAAATTTGCGTTTCAGTTGACCGAAAACCTGTTCAATTGTCACTCTTCTTCTTCTGTGGCTCCTGCAATAAAAGGAAGAAATAATAGGTTGAAACCAACTAAAGTCACATGGTTGTAACCACAACACTTCAAACTTACGATACATGATTGGAATATAACCAATCCCAACCACAACTTTTCCGCGAGTCAGCTTCGATTCTTTCTTGAATCACCTACTTGCAACTGAAGAGTGCCCAACAGTAAGGCACGAAAGCATGCTATTGCTAACAAGAGGATTTGCGAACATAATCCTCTGCTCGCACCTTTAATCACATTTGATTACCCAACCTATCATAGTCACTTAATCTCTTATGTCCGCCCACTCTACATTTCAATCGGACATAACCGGCAAAGACTCAGTCATGCTTTAAACCCATACTATGCCATACAAGTCACCAGAGAAGAAGTGTCACTGAATGGGATAGTGCCATCCCTTTTTCAAACTTCCACCACAGGAACACTCGGTGATGTTGCAGTCGGCATAGCTTCTTCAGTCTTTGGAGCATACATAACGGCACTTATAGATCTTCAGGCTTGGAGCTTCAACCAAGAAGGCGTCAAGGTGTACAGCTGTAGGCTATTCCATTACAGGATCACTCATTGAATAGGCAGTCGACATAGCTTCTGCAGGCTTGGGAACCTTCACCATAACAGCATATATTAGAGCTTCAGGCTCTGGAGTTTCAACCAAGAAGGCGTCAAGAGGTACATCTGCAGACTTTTTCGTGATAGGATCACTAAGTGATGGAGCACTCTAAATATTTTCTTGCTTGTTTTGGAGAATCCACCATAGCAACTCCTATTAGAGCTCAAGCCTCCGGATCTTCAACCAAGGAGGCGTCAACTGGTTGAGGTTCAGGCTATTTCACCATAGGAGTACTCGGTAAGGGAACATCAGGCTATGGAACACCAAGTGTTGGAGCAACCAACAAAGCACCATCTGTCAAAGCATCCAGTGATCGAGCAGTCGGCATAGCTGGCAAGATTTCTTTTAAAGCAAAGACTCATCTGAGTCATGCTGAATGGTGTGTTAGCACTCAAAACTGTTTTGCCATCTCACTAGGCTGTGAAGAGAGGGTAATCGTTGCCTTGTGTTCTATATCGGACTGACCTGTCTTGGATAATCTTTAAACAGATACATATTAATCATGTTGCAATTCAATTTTTGCCCCAGGCAAGTCATGTCGCAAGTCACTGTTCGCCCATTTGTTTTTAAGTATTTGACTTACAAGTCAAATATTCGAAAGGCCAGTCGAGTCGCACGTCAATTTTAAATTCACTTTTTTCCCCAGTCAAGTCAAGTCGCAAGGCTTGACTTGAGATCTTTAATTTTCAAATTTACTGCTCTCTTTACTTTATCATTTGCATGTAAAATAGTACGTAAATGTGTTAAAGGGGCACTAGGTCCTGAAATCCCGAAAAAAAATCACGTTTTGAATTGCTTATTTATCTTATTTCAAACATGTGATTGTTTACATCGGACACGACGGCGTACGAATACGTTTTTCGTTTTTTCTCATACATTGTACGATATACACGTTGTGTGTCTCGGGAACATCACCAATGCAAAACAATGTGGTTCCTTGAACGTCCGAAAAAGACGATTGGGATGTTCCAGGACCTAGTGTCCCTTTAAGTGTGATGTCTGTCGACAAGTAGATTCCCTGCCTGGCTGACCAATTCCTCGGTGAAATTAAAGCACCTGCATTTGTACGCTACCACACCAAGTGACGTCCAGTATTCCAAATATACCACTAAGGGAAGCACAGGAAGTTTGAAATGGGTGAAATTTATTGGATTGGGTGTAATTTATTGGATTGGGAGGATTAACCTATAAATTTGGTTGAGTACCGGTGAATTTGAGTCGATGGCTGATGCCTTTGTGTGGCTAATCGTTGGCTGTTTAATTGCAATATTTTGTTAATTCAAATTAGGTTTTGCCCTTCACCGACGTTTGTGCGGTACCCGCTGCCATGTACATCAGATTCGAACCGGCCAACCGATCCCGTTAGCTCAGTGGTCGAGTGGTTAGACATCTGCACTAGAAAGCAGGAGGTCGTGGGTTCGAGTCCCACCCGAGGGATTTTTTCAACTTTCACTTGGGAGGTAACACACTGAGTATACAGTGTTCAAAAACCCCGGTGAAGGGCAAAACCTAATTTGATTTATATCACCCTGACGCAAAATTCCATCTTATAATATTTTGTTACCCACAAATAATATTTGACGATCTTCTTTCACCTCTAACTTTTGAACAAAATGATCAATTGTGTTCCAACCACGTGTTTGTGAACTCGCTTGACCTTAACTTACGGGTCTACCGAAAGATAGGTGCATATAATTAAAGAAAACATTAGCCTGAAATCAAACCAAAACCAAAGTTCTTCCGAATGGTTCGCTGGATGATCATAAAACCTAGTATGAACTTGTACCATTGTACTAAGATGCTTTGAGTACTGTTACGTCATCACACGCCATCAGGTATACAATTGCAAAACCGTTTCCCAGATCAAGTTCCCCAGAAAGGCTTCCGATTGCCAGAATAGGCTTTACTTCTCCGGCTTCAGATTGAGGTTGACCTGTCTCTGTCTCCGAAACATCTTCTCAAGTCTCTCTATCTCCCCATCAACCGTTTTGCCAAAGACCTTCGTCATCGAGATACAGTACTCTCTTGAAGGTAGCCGGTGGTTACAAAGGCCACAAAAGGAATGACCTTCCAACACGTATCTCATTCCGCGCAAAATGGTTTGCGCGTGCGCGTATTTTTTTAAAAATGGCGGGCGTACGCGCGCGTATGAGCTCCTAATTATCGGTTCATGAATATTCATTTATTTATCAGCGCGAAAACTCACCAATTAAACCACCCCATATCAGCGATTACATCGCCTCTGACGGTTTCTAAGCACCCCGGTTGGTAAGGAGGCTTCATCAAAATGATAAATACATTTTAAATTATGAAAATATCATTTTGTAATCCAATTTTATCCAAGTTTGAATTTTGGGATGATTTTGCATGAAAATTGAACTTTTTTCCTGATATCTTATCAAAAAAGGGCATATTTCTAAAAGTTATTTTTTTACGGAATTTTTACTTCTGAAAAGTAGTGAACGAGGGTGTAATCTTCATTGTTTTCTATGTGGGAACCCAGCTAATATTTTTTTTTTCGTGAATTTTCGTCCTTGACTATCACATTTTTGGCGACATTTCGACTTGAATACGCATGTGACACGCGTTGAGCATCAAGAAATGCACACTGGGAAACTGCTAAACGAGTTCCAAAATGCTGAATCTTGCAGCAAAAACGAAGATTCTGTACTGCTTATGTCTCGGCGAAGTCAAGAAACCTCCGATCTCCATTCACACCACGTTAGAAAGGACATCGCAGGCATTGCATGCCCGCACTCGTCATGCTCGTGGGAAGAAATTTGACACCATTCGGTGGCATAACGCGGTCGTCGACGGCCAGCCGTGCCGGGAGTTCGAGCTCGAAACCCCACCACACACATCGCTTGTGACAGGCACCGCTTTGGAGTCGAGTTTTGGGTGTAATATGCGGGTAAACAGGGATTTGGTTATGTGCAGTATATATGAAAACTGGTTCAATTTCAAATTAAATTTTGTGATTATGACCGTGGCTATTCCTTCTTCCAATGTATTTTTGTGTCATATATTTTTTAGACATTTAAATGTTGTGTTTTGCATTATTTTAATCTTGCTTCATTTCCTTTTCCATTTTTTTTTGCAGCTGTAAATGGAGATGTTTTGATTGTCGTTCCTTCTGATGACGATGCAGACCTTGGAATCTACAATATGAGACATGATGAAGAACTCTGTGAAGAATAAAACTATGGACAGACTTTGAACTGAATTTTAAAAATCCTTTTATTTAATATACTTTAAAGATTTTTAATTATTTTAATAATGGAGACTAGACATGCATTAAACAGAAATGTAACCATTAACAAATGTACTCAGAAGAAATCAAAAGTAAGTTTACCGACTTAGAATAGAATTACATGGCTTCTGCTGACAACCAAGTACATGTATCATCAAGCCAATGCAAAACTAGAGACTTTAATTGTTTATTTAGACAAAATATCTCCTGATTAAATTGATATTGCAGTATACATGTAGTGAACAAAAATTGCAGTATGGTTATAAGACAAAAATGCTTGGGTCTCGTAACATCGGCTGTTGGATTCGAAATTAGGATTGCAGCAAGGATTTAATTTTTCATTCTAGTGATTGTCGAATAAAAGTTTTTTTCTTTACAAATTATTTTGTTGAAAAAACAAAAAGCAAAACACTCAAACTGGTCGGTGTTTAAAACTGAAATTGAAACTTGGGCTTTCAAAAATAAAGGGATGGGATTGGAAAGAGAAAATTCAATGAAATAATTCTAATAATTTAAACGATGAATAGGTCTACTGAATACCATTGCTACTTTTCATAAATAATGGATTATCTTGTAATTTAACAGTCTACAAGCTGCAACAATAAAAATTTCACGGAACTGCTTAAACACTCGTGAATCTGCCTATGCTTTAGCACGCAGGTAAGTTCCCTATACAATTACACGCAAGCTTCTCATGAAAAGCGTGAAATACGCGAACGAGATCAACTTCTGGTTGAGTGCAAAAAATATAAGCTCAGTTCTCATAAAATGGAAAAATTACAATAATTAATGGAGTACTAGGTCAGCCAAGGCAAATTTGCTGGAAAAAACATTTTTGGAATGATAAAGTAGAACTTTGAGGTTCGTTTTTACCGCGCGGAAAGTTCGTGCGCGTTTTTGCGTAGTGACGTCACAAACGCGTGCGTACAGCGTTCTCCCGCGGGATTTCGGGTGGCCATTATCATAATTTATGTGCGCACGCTCAGACCAAGTTGACACTGGTGTCATATTTCACTAACGTACGTGCCAATGGAACGGTGCTCCTCTGGTTAATAAAAACACTTTTTTCCATGGCATCCTCAATTAGTTCCACTTTCCAGTTCCGACAAGCCAAATCCAGGGTAAAAAATCACACTGTACTTGTGCTAACGAATGTAAGCTCACCCAACCTGAGTAAGTCGGTTGTGGCAGTGACGCCCCAGTGGGTAGGAGTTTTCCTTCTCTCCAATAGTCATTTTTACTCTGTTTTGAGTATTCCACTGTTTTCAGAAAGCTAACTTCATAGTAATAATGACGGAGTCTTATGTAGCGCACGTATCTACCAACAATTAGGTTCTCAAGGCGCTGGAAAGTTATGTCAGTTATTAAAGAAAGGTAAATAAAGTTTATGAGAAATATGACACCCATAATGTAGCACATTATAATGGTTTACAAGGTGTTGCGGCGGACATTGCAGCCACTGCCAGAAACACCCTTCTCTAAGCGATAAGTGTTACTAGGTTCTTTAACGTGCATTACAGAACACACGAGACCTACAGCTATACGTCCTATCCAAAGGACGAAGTGATAATGGTAAAATGCCTTGCTCAAGAGCACAAGCACCATGTTCCCACGGTCAGGATTCGAACCCACGCACCACGGCACACGAGTCGAACACCGTTACCAATGGACCACAGCGCCCCACATGAACTTCATTAAGTGAAACATTGGAACCTTCAGCTTGCAAGGAATTCTGAAGAATGATCGCCTGGAAGATGTTGCAAATGACATGCAAACATATTGACCATGTGCACTAGCAGTTCAGAAAACGCATTTACGCGATTCTGGATCACGCGCAGTGACCACCAGCGATGGAAGAAACAATTCCAATTTTTCTACATTGGACCATCGGACAATCCATATCAAGGAATAGGATTCTTCATTGATTCCGGCCTCGATACAAAGATCAACATTTCAAGTCAACGGATAGCAACGGCTTATATTGCTTTGAATGATGACAAAACTGTTAATCTCATCGATGCATATGCTCCGACACTTCCAAAAAGTGAAGAAAAAAAACACCCGGAGGTAAGAGACGACTTTTATCACGGCAGTTCCACATGCATAGCGCGCGCACACACAAAGGTTAAGTAATGCGTTAGTTCTGTATTTGTGAACTCCAATGATGCCAGCGACGTCACACAACATGGCGCCGTTCACATACAGAAAAAAACATCGATGTTTCGTCCCAAATAATGTCAAAATTAGACACTTTAGAAATACGTTTTATTATCATAAATGACAGGCAATGCGGGATGAATTTATTCGCGTATCGAAGACTTTTAAAAACCCTTTAAGAAAAGCGAAACGCAGTTTTTCAGAAGAAATCTTTATGTTGATACCATTATTCAGTTATGAAAATAGCCAAAACATACTTTTTCTTGGTCGGGTCGACATTTTAAAATAAAATATAGACGTTGAAAGTCGGACTACAATTCCAAAGCTTCGCTGAGAATTCGGGCTGCCCTCTGGTTTACGATCTAGTTTTCCATTAATACATGCAAACTTACGCGCGGGTACCAACTGGCCTAGCGCCGCGTGTGTTGTGAACACAAAAGCGCCGTACAACGTCTACACATGTACATGTGTACGTAAAACCATCGCATTTTACGGACAGTCGCAAATAAAATTTAAAAATACATAAAATGCAAAACAGATTACATAGAAATAAAGAACCATCTGTCATTAGATGAAAACACTCACTGTGGACAACCTAAACACACAATCCGAAATTCACAAATGTTTAGTGTTGTACAGTGAGTGAGTGAGTGAGTGAGTGTGTGTTGTACAGCATATTAAGGCAGCACAATCCAAAACCAAGCACGAATTTGCCATTAGTATGAGACACTCTATCCTCTTAAAATTCTGGGAGAAGTTGCTGACAATTAATTTGATCTATAATTTAAACAAAACAATAACAAATAGGTTTTTGTTTGGCAATAAACGCATTCTTTATTTCACAACAAATCCAAATCATTTAAAAATAAAAAGTTTCATTTACAGAAGTGAAACTTCACAACAGCCATATTTTACAAGTAAATAAAATGCACATGTAATGCAGGCATGAACTCAATTAATGAAATCAGGTTTGGCAAGTGATAAAACTATTACAATTCTGAAAAATTAAATAGGGTAGTTGCAGTTGATTCAACAAAAGTGATTCAAAAATTCAACTTTATGAAAGGGCAAATGGATTTAGACATACCCTCACACCTGAAGTAAAGGTTTTTTTTATATTTATTTATTATTAATATTTTGTTGGAGAAAGGAGCTTGCAGTTCAACTGCACTATTTCATGAGTGGTGGTGATGGCAATTTCAGGTTTCAAATTTTCGCTTCATTAAAATTTCACATACGTACGTGTACACGTACCTGGATGACCTGCACCAGATTTACAAAGCACTACGTCACTTTACAATTTGATGCAAACACAGTCTACTGTGAAGTTTTTTCCAGTGTGAATGCATCATACATCCTCAATTTTGTTAATTTTTTAAGAAAAGTTTGCACAAGTACAATCGACGACTCTTTGTTGACTTTTCCACGACTATTTACTGTTCTTTGAATAAATACATAACATGAAAATACATGTACATGTACATGTACTCACCTTTTGTCCTTTGAATACACTACGACGTGTCGCACTTACAGCATATTTTTGTGAAATGAATCGCAGGATGCGTCATCCTAGGGATACAACGATGCATCGCAGATTAAGTGTCGTGAAATCAGGTACAGATTGTCATCGTCACTACAAACGACACTCTCGCACCTGAATACAGAATACTTCACACGAGATTGATTAACACGCGTGTAGTTGGGTCGTTAGTGCACGCGTAAACTGGAACTGGGCAAAAAATTGCGGTTGCGTCACGACGAAGTCCGGTCCCCAGTGATTCGAACCTGAGCACAAAAACAAGCCAACCTGCAGTTCCATTATATGCAGGGCTTGTTTGAAACGATTGCAGCTTTTTAAAACAAATTTCCTGTTTTTCTGTCAACCATCTTTGCAGAAATCTGCCAAAAATCCATTCTGTCAAACTCGTTTTTTAACAAAACATCTGTCAAAGTTAGTTAGCCGAAAATCGGCCGTGGTCACCTTAAGGCAAATATTATGCATGCACAGCGGGACTATTGCTATTTGGCCCTAAGTGCGCGGCGGGAACCAGTCACTGCTGCACTAGCACGTACGGGCCTATGTGTTTTCATACATGCACGCAGCTCTATGCGAAATGCAGATTTGTGCACATACAGTATACAGCCGGTCATCTGTACACGCGTATGATATAGCGCGGCACTTATGTTCGAGACTGTTTCACGTTTTTCCTCAAAAATCCGATTGAAATGAAATTTTCCCACAATGTTTCTGAAGGTACAAAGAGAATATATAAACACCTTTCGGTTTGGTAAAAATGTGAGTAGTTCCGGAGAAATCAGTCACTAATATAAATTAGTGGTTATATAAGCTACTATTTATAATGTTAAATGTAATTTACAAGTAAAGCCCGGTTCATACTTCACGCGAAAGCGAAGCAAAATTCCTGACGTCAACAATACTTTCGAAGCGCGTCCACCATTGATGACGACATGAATTTCGCTTCGCACTTGGTTTCGCGTAAAGAATGAACCGGGCTTAAAGCTTTAGAACAATGAGATCTTGTGATCGAACTTGTCTTTTTCTTTTGAACCCTTTCTATTTCTTCTAGAAAATGAAATTGACGCTGAAGCCTTCATGCTGTTGGCAGGTGATGAAGACTTACTGAGGGAGATGGTTCCTATCCCAGGACGCAGGCTAAAACTTAAAAGTCGTTTGTCTTCGTTGGCAACTGAGCATGCTGAGAAAGAGGTGAATACGAAGTAGTTCTTGACGTGAGTTTGATTTGTCTAAAATATGGGAACGTCATCCAGGGAGACACTACAAATTTGGTGTGGCACTTGAGAAACTACCATGCTTTGATGGCCATGTATTTACTGAGAATGTGATATGCAGCCAGAATGGATGTGAAAGAAAATTTGATAAATATATCACCACTTTCACTCGCCACTTAATTTCAAAACATGGAAATAGCAAAGCAGCTGGTGATCACCAAGTTGAAAACAGACAGCATACTGAAGAAGATGACGTTGCAATCCATTCGGACTCGGATGAAAATGATGATGGTAATTATGTAGGTGCTCATGAGAACTTGCAATATTGGGATAAATTTGGTGAGGCTGAGATTGAAGAAAAAGCTGCTTCAGTTGTTGCAGAGTTATTAGCTTCCAGTAGCGTGATGCAATCAAGTGTAACAAAATGTAATATTCAGCAAACAGTACATCAACTAACTCTTCAAAATATACCTATAAAAGTTATTTTGAAATGTTGCTGGAGGCTGAAAATATTTGAAAACTGATGGACACTCACGTACCAAGTGAAAGATGGCTGCCTGAGAGA